GGGTCTTATCAAGTTGTTATTTTTGGAGATGGAATTGTGGAATAATGAAGGGGAAATGGGCTGGATGAAAATATGGGAATGTGAAGGAGTTCTTTTTGGGTTTTGATATTATGAAGAAGAGTGGAAAATCAGGGATGAAGGATGGGTTTAGAAAGGATGGGATAAATTCCAAATAAGGAATAAGAGATAAACACACTCTTATCTTAATTTGGAGCCAAATTAATACTAAAGGATAAGCTCACCTCTAGATTAACTTGGGGTTAAACTCTAGTATTTAATCAAGATATTACACACTCAATCAAATAACTAGAACCTGAAACTCACACTTAAGATAATCACTCTTAAGATATAGAATTAGGAATTTGGCTAAAATAGCATCACACTATTTTAAGAATACTCAAAGAGTAAAAGGTTTTTAATATGATTTCATTGTCCCTGCACATTGCCCTAAGGCTACATTATATAGGGAGAGGGGAAGGGGAAAATAATACACAATACAATGAATGTGAACATGAGGAAACTTCCTAGAAACATCCTCTCTCAAAGTCTTGAAATATCAGCCATCTGCTTGGTCCTTTTATATGAATAAAATCAGGGATGGGTGTGGTTGTAGGGTCTCTAATGAAAGGCAAACCAAGGAGAATGAATGGCATTCTTTTGGGCTGATTTTGGGGGATGTGAAGAAGAAGAGGGAGTTGGAACCTGTCAAGTCGACCCAAACCTGGTGACCTTGGTCAATGGTCATGTATATGCATTTCCTGATCCAAACCCGAACTTGAAGTTATCCAAACCAAAATCCAACTTGTTTCCCAGCTCTAAGGGCCGGTGTTGGAAGGGTTGCCTTTTTTAGTCATTAATTTTAGATGTAGGAAACTAGGAATGTAGGATTAAACCGGTTCGGTGTAGGATTGAGACCAGTCTAGTACCACCAACTTGACAAATATCTAGACTGGTTCGTAATTTAAAAATATACCCCCCGGCCCCAATTTAAATCGCCCGTTTCAATTTACGATGTTTGATCGAAGTTATTTTCAAATCATTTTATATAAAAGTGGTCTAGAATTAAGAAATAAAAATTACATATTTAAAAAAAACTACATCAAAAGATCTACAAAATTGACCATATTATTTTATCAAGTGACTAACAAAAATAGAGAAAGAAAGTGAATGAAATTTTACCCTATGAATAGTAAACATGCAATTTAATTTGGGACAAAAGGAGTACTAATCTACAAAAACAACATAGTTGGATGCGATGAGAGTAGGGTCTAGGGAGGGTGTGTGTACGCAGACCTTGCCCCTACCCAAAACTAGAGACTCAGTTTTCTAGAGATCCTCGGCTCAAGGTGCACAGATAAAAATCTCACAGTACATAAAGTAGAGAAATCTCTGCTCAGAGAACACAGAAGCAAAGAACAAACTAGAGCTAACGAAGGAAAAGTAATGCATTCAAATAACACCAAGCATACAATGCATACAAAGCACACATCAACAAGTACAAGAAATTATTCCTAGTGTAAGATTCCTATCCAACTACTCCGATTATAACTATCCAAACGACCCTCTCTACACCTTCCCCTGATCCCACCCATGAAAGTAAGCCTCTCCAATCTCCGCATTGGGGCATCAGCATTCCGGTGCTTCACATACCCAAACCACCTTAACCTCGTTCCCGCAGCTCATCTTTTCACAGATGCCACACCTACCCCACTTCAGATAACCTTGTGCCCAAAAAAATACTAATCTATATACATCAATTCCATAACTATACCGTGTAATACTTTACATTATTCATCAGAAATCTATAATTATTAGTGTTGTATAGTAAAATAATGAAATAGGGAGGCAGTGAAGAAGATAGATGAGGTGAAGTTTTTAATCTTTTTTATTTTTTGTTACTCCCTCCATCCAACAATTATCTTTACATTCACTATTTTTGTTTTCTATTTGATAATATAATATAGTCATGTCACATCTAGTTTTGTAGAGCTTTTAATGTAGTTTTTAAATATGTAATTTTCATTTTTAATTTTTCACTATTTTCATATAAAATGATTTGAAAATAAATAAGTCAAACATCATAACGCGCAATAGAAAAATAATAATTGGACAGGAGTATTAAATAAAATGAATTAAATAAATGAATAAAGTGAAAAAAATAAAAGTTGTTTGGAGCTGTGGACCGATCCTAATCGGACTACCCGATCCCAATGAGTTTTCTTATTTTTCTTTGATGATTGGACCAGTCTAGAGCAACTATTGAAAATGACCATCCAGACCGATTATTGAATAGTACCAGTTTGTTTGGAGGATCGGTTCGGTCTTTATGCTCATCATTAGTGAGACCCAGAGAGGAAGCGTTGCCACAGCCTTGCTCTATATCTTACTCTGTATTTGTTAATGTTTTTGACAAGAAAAATGGGGTTTAAGGGTGCCTTCACTCAGGCATGCTGCGGACCTCACCTCGTCTCGGTGGGAAAAGTGGCACCTTTGGGCCTAGGTGATGTCCTTTTCACCTTTTAGTCCTCTTGTTTGAGGTTTGTTCCTTTCACAAGAACTCTTACAACCTCTGGCAGATTCTTTTTGATGCACCACAGAAGTTTTTTTTATTTGTTTACCTACTCCGTATTTTTTTCTTCTAAAAATTAGAAGCCTGATGCAGTGCAGATTACTTGAGACTTACATTACAACCTGAGTTTTTTTTGGCACATACATACTACGGAGTACATCTTTAGGATTTTGCAGAATTCACAAGTTCTTTCTGTGTATTTTTATTTCTTATTAGATTCTTATTAATATTTTACTGTCTCTACCCAGAGAAGAGTATTCTCTTTCTCAAGTTTAATAATCGAAGGCATCCTATCTTTTCTGACCGGACGAACACAAGAACTTCCTAGCTACTTATCGCTTTTTAATCAATTTTGATGAGCGAAGTATTGATTTTATTTTCAGGTATCTGGAACGCATGGTAAATACATTGGAGGAAAAGAAACGTCATGAAATTAAACTGAAAGATGGATTGAAGGACCTGGCTTCTAAACATATGGAACTGCAGAATTCTTTGTCTTCATCCTGGCCAAAACAAGTGAGTTTGTGTTATTTGACTTTGACAGAGAGAACAAAAATGAAAGGGCATCTTGTAATTGTTGGTCATCTAGATGCTCGTAAAGTGTGGTTCAGAGAATTATTAAGGTTGGCGTTCATAAAAACATTTGATAAGAGTTCCTAGAGACGCAGTATTAAGGTTGTAGAGTTCCTGTAGGGTCTGCGTTTGAGTGCTATAGCTTGTTTCTTTTTCATTTTTCTTATTTACCACTCACTCTTTGCATTTGTAGAGCTAAGGTCTTCTTACTTCTTGCCCGCCCACTGGATCATACTCATTCTTGGATGGGATTAACTGAGTTTGTTTTGATTCTGTTTGGTTTTATATAATCCTAATTGACATGTTTGTAATGCAGGAAGCAGTTGTGGTGAGAAGCAGGAAGTTGAAAGAGCTTTGCGAGAAGACGATTTCATCCATGTTTGATGGGCGACCTGTGAATATAATAGGAGAGATTAATACGTTGCTGACAACTAGTAGTTCAAGTGTGTGATTCCCCCATCCACTGGCCAAACTCTTCATATACTCTGTATTTTGTTTCAAATATCTGTGACAAAACTAAGATGCTAGAAACTGAAAAAAGAAAAACAACCGCATTATATATAGATTCTTTGACAATTCCGTTGCTACGGAGTATATAGTATCCGGACTGGAATTCGGCCAAGGTTAAGTGATCGTGTTGTGTCACTTGTGGGCATTTTTGTGGGTACAAAACATTTAAAGCAGTGGAAGTGGGCATAACGCCGTGCGCGCCGAATGCGTTTTTAACACCGCTAGAGCGTTAAACACCACCTTCTTCCATCGTCAAACGGGTGTTAATCTAGTTGCATAAAACATTTGACGCCCCTCCCCCCCTCCCAACGGTCTAATTTTAGGCTGTTGCCCAAATTTTAAAAAAGGTTTTATTTTTTATTTTTTCAACTACAAATACCTCATTTAAAAAACACACAACATATTCTCATTTTTTTTTATAATTCTTCCAAAATATATTCTTTTTTTGAATTCAATCTAAATATACCCAAAAAATGGAATCTTTGTTCATCTGACGATGAAAGAAGAACTTTCTTTTTTCGTTTTGCGACTAGTAGTTTCCAATGCATCAAGCACAACAAGAGGAAGCGGAATCGTCCCAACGTTCAACCCAACGTGAACATTTAAATCGTGACCGGGTGGCTGCACACGAAGTACTACTCAACAACTACTTTAATACTCAGTGTGTTTACACACCTGAGAATTTTAGTAATCGTTTTTTCCGATGAGCCGTTCTTTGTTTTTACACATACTCGGCGATATTGAAGCAAGGTGCCTTGGTTCACTCCACGGTTCGATGCGAGAGGCTATCACAATTTTAGCAACGTCTAAAAGTGCACCACTGCACTTCATCAGATGGCGTATGAGACAACTAGTAATATGTTTGATGAATACTTAAAGATGTTAGCTCAAAACATCAGATCATGTGTTTTTAAATTTTCTAAAGCACTTATTCGACTTTATCATAAGAGATATTTACTTAAGCCAATGATGGGCGACATTGAACAGTTACTCGCGAGGGATATCGCTAAACACGGCTTTGTTGGCATGCTTGGGAGCATCGATTGCACGTATTGGAAATGGAGAAATTGTTCCACTGTGTGCTATGGTCAGTTATCCTGGGGTGATCATCTCAAGCTTACTATTATGCTCGAAGTTATGGCTTCAAATGACTTGTGATTTTGATATGCTTTTTTGGTCTTACGGGCTTGAACAACAACATCATTATTTTTGATCAATCACCTATTTTTGACAATTGGGTTAATGAGACTACACCTGATTAGTCTTTTGAGCTTAAACGGATTCTTTATAAGCGTGGATATTATCTTACCAATGAAATATATATCCACTTTATTCCACAATTGTCAAGTCCCTCTTGGAACCAATGGCTCTTAAACGCTAGACCTACAAAAAGCTCGTGAGGCGGCAAGAGGATATCGAACAAGCTTTCGGGGTGTTGAAGGGTAAGTGACACATTATAGATCGTCCATCCAAGTGTTATTCTCGACTGAAAATGAGGAATGTCATATACGTATGTACTATTCTTCGTAATATGATTATGGAGGATAACGGGTTTACAATTTGTCATTACAATCCGGACGAGAAGGTGCCTACATATGAAGAAATCGATGATGAAACTGCCAAAAAATTTGAAGTCAAGAGATTCACAATGCACTAACGGTTGAATTGATTGAACATATTTTTAGTTGCTCAAATAATTAGTAATTTCTTCGTAATGTAATGTTTATTTAATTTTTTATTTATCTTGTTATTATTAAATTTTTTATCAATGTAATTTTTTATTTAAAGAATTATTTTTGTTTAAATTTAATTAGTTATTTTTACAATATGTGTATTTAAAAAATTTAGAAAATAAAAGTTTGAAGCCCCAGTTTGATAGCCTCATGGCTTCAAATTCATTTCTTGTGAAACTGTGAGGTAAGTTAAAGTGAAATTTAAGTTGATATGGCAGAGAGAAAGGTTTGAAGCCCAGGTGTGAAGCTCCTGGTTTAAAATGTATTTCCAGTGCCCTTACTAAAACAGAATGTAATGTGGTGTGAACTAGTTGTCAAAATCGAATTTGGTAGGACTTAGCATTTTTTTAAAGGGAGGTAATAGTCACTTTTACGAAAATATTATACTCATCCCGTACACAACTTTTACTTTCAATTTTTATTAATTTTCTTTTTATCTTGTGCTTCATACAAATTCAAATCCTTCCCAATCCCAAACATGCCATACTGGTGGCACACCTCAAATGGCTTCTACCCCGTCAAATCCGCTTACGAGTCCACACCTCCACCCCGGGACCCCTCCAATGATGCACCCACCTCCACCCTCTCATCCCATCTCTAGAGGAAACTCTGGTTTGTCCAAACCTACCACGCATTCACCACACCATTTGGCACGCAATCAATGACATTTTTCCATGCATAGTTCGAGCCAAGTCAAACACGTGGATGTCCTAGTTTTTTGTCCCCGTTGTAGCAATGCACCCGAAACCATTTACCATCTTTTGGTCCCCTGCCCATTTACACGAGAAGTCTAGTTCTCATCTCTATTTGGATAGTATAACCCACTCTCATCATCATTCTCGGGCTAGCTCTCGCATGTGTTGTCACTCTTTACGGTTCAAGACCGCTGTATGATCTTCTTCATTCTTGCTGCAATCTGGAAGTTTCACAATGATATTATTTGGCGCCCGCGCGGATTCATTAAAACCGTTGTGTAAAAGTGGCTCAAAATAAACGCCAACTGTTTGAGAGACTAGAGGGGCGCGTAGTTGTTTTTTTCTTTTTCTTATACAGTGCACCTCATAATATGCGTTGTTTAAAGCTCAAACTTAATTACGGAGGAGTGGAGGCCTCTTTAATTTCTTCCTCTTCTTTCAACCCTAACTTATGAATGCGACTCCCCATATACCCAAAATTGAACAAGGTAGATTCTCCATCCTCTTCTACTTTTCTGCATAAATCGTGACTTACCACCGGTTTCTGGAAGGCTTCTCAAAGCATTGTTTGGCCGAATCTCCCTTGTGTCTTTCCCTTTTATACTGTGGGTCTTTTGTTGTTATTTTTGTGGCTTTTGGATTGTATTCGGATGGAGTTTCCAACTCTGAGCTCTATCCTGGTGAATTTGAGTTAGATCTGATGAATTGAAAATCAACCACCTCTGAATTCTTGTTCATTCAGAAATTTGCAGGCTTTGTTTAACCTCAATTCTTCCTAGATCGAATTCCAATTTGTGGGGCTCTTGGGCGGACACGTATTCTATCTTAGATTCATAAGGTTGGTGTGATTTGAGCAAGGCTTTGGTCTTGGGTTCACTGTTCACCGCGAGACTTTGGAGGCCAATATCTACCAGGTTTATGCTTGAGTTTGCCCCAATTTTCTGCTGAGTCTTGGTCCTTTTTAGGGGCTTTTCACTATCTAAACTTGGTTTGATTCAATTTTAGGGTGGTGCAATTCCTAATTCATTGTCACTATTCATTTTCTTATTTGTTGACCTGTACTTTTTGATTTCGAGGATATGCTGAGGGTGGTTTTTAAGCACTTCGGCATTGTTAGGCTGTTTGATTTCGGTGCTAGAGTTACTACAAATACAGCTTTCCCCATTGGGCTTTTAACAGCAGGTTTCTTTATTTCGTTGTAAAACGTATACAATTCTTGCGCTTCTAATAACATTATATTGTAAGAACTGCGGATATGGGAAGTGTTTTTAACTGTTTAAGCATCTAAGTTTTATTTAGCCACTGTCTAAAATTTAAAGTCTTTCTGCCATCACCAACGATCTGCTATTTATTTGGTCTCTCTATCATTTTTATTATTCTCTGTCCATCTACCGCTGTCGCAGCGCTCTTCATCTCTTCCATATACATCTTAATTTTATTTACTCTCTCCTCAATTTTGTTGTTTTTAATGTTTTATTGTTGCTATTTTTAAATCAATTTCTCATTAACTATGAATGTCTAGATAGCCAATTAGGTAAAAAAGACTTCGGAAAGCAATACCGACCCATACCCTATTATTTCATATATATGTATAAAATGGTGAAAACAATCTAATAAATCCCATGAGTTTACTTTCAATACTCTATTTCTCACTTCATGTTTATGACTTATGCTCAAATACATATCTTACTGGGTTCTTAATCCTAACAAATACAAAAGTTGCTGAAAACAGGTTGGAGTCAGGCCATCTTTGGGATAACATCTGGAGGTTGCAAATGTGCAAAAATCAAATAAAGTGGGTGAGGTTTTAGTGTTGCGAATGAATGACTCCGTGGGTGATGTTTTCCAAATCAAAAAGTGGAGCATCATAGGAAAGAAGGAATTTTAAACCCTAACGAGGAGGACAATGATGAGCCTCTAGAGGAGAACTTGTATGATAATCACAGTTGGGTGCTACTGGAAGCAGACTACAACATCCAAACAAAGGGCCTTGAAACTAGTATTAAGGCTAGGCAAAAGAATTTATCTTCCAAGAAGGAAAGGCGTAAGAAATAGGTAATCTACGAGCTATTTGAATATTTGATTTTAGGGCTCATAGTATCTATACATGGCTTTTAAGGCAGTATAAGCAATATGCTTGTCTCTTTAGCATGTACTCTGTGTTATAAGGGTCTTTGTATTGCAATGATGTGTTTGCTTGATGGTTTGGGTTTTGAACTTAGTGTGGCTTCATAAGTTGAGCATGCTAAAAGATATTTGTTGGTTGATGTTTATATTTCTATCTTCTTAGAACTATGCATAGCCTTTTTAGTTTTCAGGATGTTCATCTTGCTGAAAGGTTGCCAGTTACTGCCTCAATTCAGAGGCATCAATGTTGGATGATGGCTGCTGGTCTAGTTACGATTCTGCTAAAAATATTACTAGGTCTTGGACTACTTTTGTTGATGACTAGGATTTTTGGAGTTTTCTATGTTGAGGCTTCAAAGTTGGATAATGGTGCTAGATTTTTGCTCATGGATGTCTAGAACATTGCTGAACATAATGATGCTGAACACAAAACGCAGAGTGAATTTTTCATTGTGAACCTTGGTTTCTATTTTGCTGGTTGTAGACTAAGGTGATCGTATTTAGCATTGGATTTGGCTTTTTTAGATTGTTGTAGGGTTTTTTCTTCTTTTTCTTTTTGTTTTATTGTTTGTTCTAAGGGGCTCGGTTTGGTCCTCCCCTTTATACTCTCTTTACTTATATTAATAAAATTATTTATATATATTCGATGTGTAAAGTGAAAAACAATTGATGTGCATATAACCGATGGATAAGTTGGAGTTGAATTCATGCTCAATTATAGTCCATGTGTTAGGGTAGTTCTTGTTTTCTAATTATCCATGTTTTTTGTGCTATGGATTTGTAATAATATTGAATTTGATTTTTTTTGAATAAAAATTAACTTTACACAGCGGATAAATATCCGTTGTGTAAACTATATCTTTTTTTAAGAACCCTTACACACCGGATATTTATCCGCTGTGTAAATCCTTTCACAGCGGATAAATATCCGCTGTGTAAACATGATACCTATTGCACCGGTCACATACACAGCGGTTGATTTGCGCTGTGAAATATCAAATTTATCCGCTGTGTATTCCCTATCTTGTAGTAGCAACCTCTGCTCAATCTACATGCCATGCCGCCTGGCACCTCTTTATGGATTGGCAAACCTCTACCGGCCACCGCCCTAATAATTTGCAGTATAGAACGGGCAAAAATAACAACTAAAAAGAATCCCTTGTAAGTAGGGTGTCGAACCTCAAGGAGACGCGATTTAATTTAATTTAAACAAAAGTTTACAAAAGAAGTTGTAAAATATTTTTGGTCTTTTTGGTTTTAAAGATAAAATAAAAAGTGTAAAAGAAGAGAGTACCAAACAACACAAAGTTTTTGATGATGAAAAGTTAGAGGTAGAAATTGGTAAATTAATTGTCCAATATAATGTTTTTATAAAAGTTGGATTGTCAAGTTATTTTTATATAGAATGTGTGGGGTTGCAGAAAAGTATTTAGGGACGCTCTCGCAGTTCACCTAAATAATAACTACTCCGACTTTAACACGCTAATGATAAATCCGGAGTAATTATTTAGTAACAACGGCAACCATAATTACTTTATTGTATGTTTACCCAATTTAATGGTGTAAAAATACAATTCAATAATTATGTCCACCCGAAAGTCTTCAATCCCGGTTAAAGATAGAGAAGGCTTATGGTGTATTTAAAAAGTATTCTATTTTATGATTATTATATCAATTTTAGCTCATATTCCTTGTAACAATTATGTTTATGATTGGGCCCTTAATTAAAAATCACAAACATTCTAAATTTATTTATTTTTAAATATAACATCTAAATAAAATAAAATTAACAATCCATATTAAAAATATTCAAAACATTAAGATGGACAATTAATTACACCAACTTCTAACCCCAATGGAATTTAGAAGTTCATAGTTGGAAGCTTAAACA